TCATTAACAGTAGTTGAACGTACGATTTTCTTAATACGGCCAATTTTCTTACTCACTAATGAAAAAATTGGACAAATTCACTTTTCTCAATGTTGGCCATAATTTGTGCGATTCGTTTTTTTCTTGATATCATCATTTTTTTCTTAGTTACATATTACTTTGATGTGTCTTTTCGACTGAATTATATTATATTAGAAGGTTTGTATTCAACAAAAAGTACAAAGCTTTTGCTAAAAGCTTTAAAGCGAATTTTCCGATGAAAAAAAAATAGATTTAATTGATGCATTGCTGAAGCTATTACACATATAACTACGAATGAACGAATCTTGTACATAGCCCTGATAGTCAAGAAAAGTGAAAGATGCGTGATTACAGACATCCACTGTCTTGACATTCAAAAACTTAGAATTTTATATACATACATAATTAGATACTATGTAGCTTATCTTCGTATCACGAATATAGTGCGTTAAAAAAACGTTTTCACATTCAATTTTTTTGGAGATATCTTCCTGTAAAGAAGTATACACATATTTTCATTCATTATGACATTTAATATGCTCATTTAAAAACATTAGCAAAAGAACGAAAATTTCGTAGTCAAGAAAATATTTACACACTTACATTCGTAAAAATTCTGTTTCCTCCTCCTTAAATATCTTCCTTCGAAAGTATTTTGTATGCATTCCCTTTACTTCAACAATCGCTAGTCTTGGAATTGACTCTTTGTAATATCACATCAAATTTTTAACCATACTTTGAAAAATACAATTTTTAAATTATCTTTATATTTAATATTTTTCTTTTTCCGATCTCCAAGTCCAAAATAAACCACAAATTCTTTATCAGATTGATATCCAATAATTGAGGTTGTCTAATAAGTTACATAGGTGCATTATATAAAAGCCATTCTTTTTTAATTTTATAGCAATATATTTGGGATCATTGTCTCGTTGGAAATAATATCTTTCTTCCATGCCTAATTTAATTACACTCTTGAATGAATTATCTCGCAATAGATTAATATACTTTTCAGCGTTCATCGATAAATGCCAATTATAGAATATACATTTCCAAAGCATTACATTTTTCCAGAAATCTAATGATTTCTGCAAATACACTATAGTAAAATCTATTCGTTTTTCTCGATTTTTCGCATTAATGAAAGGCTTTTTTCCAACTGTTCTATCGTTTATGCCAGCGAAGTGCAATGTATTCTTATTGTTTGAGGATTTACATTCTCTCCAAACAATGACGTAATATCCATTGACAGACACGGGCACTTATAAATGGATTTTTTTATTACTTTTCTTATGACTTGTTGCTATTCTCTCACTGTCAATAACTTTTTTCATCGGCCAGATCGTGATTTACTTTCTTCCATTTTTTTGATATTTTATTGCTATACAGGGTGATTCATGTAATTCAAACACCTTTATAATTTTTGAATTATGCGCCTGAATGGAAAATTGTTTGATACAAAAGTTGTATAGTTTTAAGGGAGGCAAAATATGACAAATAAAATATCAAATTTTTGTGTGTGCTTTCAAAATTTTCAATGTTATCTTTATTTTTTTTAATTGGACATTTATTTTTTTCATAATAAATCGAAAAAATATTAAATTCCAAGTAAAAAAAGTACTTAAAAAAGCCACATCCTAAACTAATGGTTAAAGAGATATTTTACGATAATTTGTTTCGAGGATGAAAATTGCATGAAACATTAGGACCATTTGCTAACATAATATTTATAAACATAAGTAACCTTATCTTATTTACAAGTTATGCTCAAAATGATGTCCATTAATAGTTATACAATTTTATCACGGGATCAATGAATTAATTCTGCATTCTGAATTGATTGTGCACTAATTACATTACACGCTTGTTGAATTCGTTCTTTGATATTGTCCATTGTTATTAGTGCTTGACCTTATCCTTTAACGTACTCCATAAAAAATAATCTGAAGGTGTCAGATCAGGCAAGCAAAGTGGCTACAGAAATTGTTCACCACGCCTGGTCCATCGATTTTTAAATAATCTCTATAATGCTTCCCGTGCTTTACATGAATAATGAACCATCATGTTGTTATCAAAAGTATTGAACGAGTATCTAACGGCACATCTTCCAGCAAAACTGACAAGAAATTCTGCGTATTTTCGTCTTGTTTCTGCATTAATCGTTCATCAATAAAATGTGGATCAATTATTCGATTTCCGCTATGCCATAT